AGTGGAAGGCTAAGGGCATGTTCTTCGCAAGACGCTTTCGTACAACATTAAGTTTATTTTCGCCTTTAGTAGGCCACTAAAACTAACTTGAAGGCGACTTTCCTTCAAAATTACTTTTGAAGTGGCTGTACCACTTTTTTTTGAAGTACTGCTTTCTTATGCCGAGGGGAATTGTAAGGATGTTAAGAAAATTGAAGCAGTATTCATACATAGGGCACAGTGTTTGCCGTTTCTCGCCAACTGTTATACCTAGACGATGAATGAAATCCCTGTTTAGGTAGAAAAGACGTCTGTCAGTAAAGGCGCAGATAGAGTTGTAGCTATTGCATTTACGCTCAACTGCTGCGACGCTGCCTGCAAGGTTGTTGACCTTTTTCATTTTGAAGTTACTTTTCTTAGAGCAAATTTTTGTTTGCAGAGTGTGTTTTATATCGATCTGTAGTTTTATAGTATGTCGCGGCATATTTGACGGGTTCAAAATCGCTGTTTGCTGAAGCAATACACAGCACCATGGACACATGCAATCAACTGATTCTCTTGATGGGTATACGTTATTCAGCAAGGAATCCGGACAATCTCTTTCCATATGGTTACGGTAGGTCGCAGCTTCATATTCTTCTAGACTTCGCACTTGGAGCAGTTCAATACATAAAGTGTGTTCAGGTAATATGCGTTATGTGACTGCACTGATCTCCGGATGCGGTATCATGGCTTTTGGATGTGGCCTATCCATCTACCATGGGATTTCTGGATTACTGCATCCTGCTGAACTAGAACCGCTCAATTATGTTAGTGTAGTCTTAAGACAGATTAAAGTATGGAACACGGACTTTGTTTTTTCCATATTGCAGGCCTACTACGCACTGTTTTTGTCATTCTGTTTCCAAGGAACATCGGCATTCAATGCTTATAGAGAAGTAATTTCAAAAGCTAAACGAGCTAAAATTAGTATTCTCAATTATGGTATGTTTTTTATTATTTAACGATTCTATAGTTTTTGCCTAAACGTTGAACATGTCTTTTCATCTTTAGTGCGCACCTCAGCTGATCCATCTCTAAATGTTGTGTTGCTAGAAGATACTGCAGCTGTCTCAGGAGTGAGTTGTGTCCTTTTTTGCCTTATCTATCTAATGTTTGCTAGTAGAAGGTTTCTATTTTTGCTCATAAATCAAAGTTTCTTCTTGAATTTTGTTTGAACCTTGCTTTACTTGGGATTTTTTCGATGACTGAAATACGCATTTAGGTTGCAATAGCGCTATGCGCTGTTTCATTGTCATCATTGTTGGATTCGCCTATACCGGACTCTATCGGATCGATACTCATTGGATGCTTATTAGGTACTTTCATTTTTTCTAAATAACCCATCTAATGTAAAGAAATCACGTTTGATTTTGCTGAAATTTTCGTTCTTTAAAAGTTTTTCCTTTTTCTTTCCTGCCTTATTTGAGTGGTTTCGATGGAGTTATATTTGTAGTCTGAATTTCAGTTCATAAACATTCTTTTTCTCCTCTATATTGCCTTTCCCTCCCATAGCTCAGGAAAAGTGGCTTTTTCAATATTCATTTTTTCATCAATCTTCCTTTTGAATAGGTACTGTTGCCTCTTTCATTATTCGTACAAATGCGGCTCATCTTGTTGGAAGAAGTCTTCCGAAACGGATAACTGATGATATAGTGT